TTCACATGGGATTGAACTGGTATCTTGTGATCTGACCTGTGGAGCACTAACCACTGTGCTATGGACCCACAGGTCTTCATTACAATTATATAAATTAATTAAAATTTATATAATTATATTAATTAATAAATTAATTAAATTAAAAAATTAAAACCTGTGGGTTTATAGCATAGTGATTAGTGCTCCATAGATCAGATCACAAGATACCAGTTCAATCCCTTGTGAAGGTAATTTAATAGTATTTATATAGTATCTGGCACCATAACCATTATTTGCTGTTTCTTATAAGAAGCCATTTTACATACTGATACAATAGACATTGAAATTGTGATCTTTCCGTTAAGGTGATGTGGTGTGATGATCATCTGGATGGTGCAATGATTGTCTACAAAAGAAGCCATAGAACCATCCACAACATATTTGGATGTACAGATTAGGCTGTACTTCATCTTAACAAATCCATATGACATGTTTCTTTTCTATTGACTGTTAAATAAGAATGCTTTGAAAAAAGCACTGAATGACACTAATATCCTGTATGGTATGGCAAACCCAATGCAGTTAATGCATGTAGGAGTTGTGCCTTGCTTGGTATTTATATCCCTAGATTTGATAACCTATGCCAATTGGATCTGAAACTGAAGTGTCTACTAGAAAATCAAGGAAATTCTTAAGAAGATGAGAGCTTAAGGAATTCCTTGAGGAGTTACGCCCCACTTGGCCATAAGGCCTCTAGATTTGGTAGCTTAACACCAACCAGCAGTCAAAACTGAAGCATTCACTAAGGAGTACATGTATCAGCCTATACATATGATAGAAATTATTGAATTAAATCAGATTTTTTTTTTTTTTTTTTTTTTTTTTTAAACTGCTAAGGCGAGACAATGCTCTAGTTTTATTAATATATTTAGTTTTTATTACATATGTAAATTTCTAATCTATATTAATATGATATTAACTAGTATCCACCCACGAGCCTATAGCTGTCTGGATGTAGTCTGCCGCCCTGCTTGCTACACAAGCATTACTTTCCCATCTACTTGCAGTTTTTCCTTATACATTATTCCCATTTGTAATCTTTCATCCTTTATTAAGTTACCGGCCTAGAGGTCTTTCTGCTTGACAATGCTGCCTGTTCGGAAGGGTACCTTGTAGGGGTGATCAATTACTGGATTGGGCTAGGATCTTCTTTTCACATACCGACCGTCTTCTTGCTCTTCTTTTTATAGACTTTGTTCTCGATCTTGTCTCTTCATTTCTGGAAATTGAAATTTTTTCGTACTTCTTTTCAACCACTTCTGGCGATTATCGTATCACCCACCGGACAATCGTCACACCACAACTCCTTTATTGGGATATTTTTTGGATACGACATATACAGGAACCCCATAGAACCTGATATGAAGGTGGTAAATATTTTTGTAACCAGGCGGGTTTGAACCCTAGACCTTTTCCTGGTAACCTATGGAGCTTTACCACTAAGCTATAGACCCATAGGTCTATTGTTAACTGATTCTGTTTTATATCATGATATAAATTTTCTTTTGGATTTTTTGACTTTTATGCTTATCATTGGGCAGATATATTTGTGCTATCTATGTTTTGTGTTTTTTGCTTAAGAAATGAATTGTGACTAGGTAACTATCCAATCTTTCTATCTGTACTACATGTTTCTTCAAGTCTTTTCTGATTAAAAGTATAATACCGGTTTCTTTGGGATTGGATGTGTTAATACTTGAAAAGTATTTATATTTGTTTAATATTTTTTTAAATACAAATTTATAGTTTTCTTAAGTTAGTTTTGTCTCACTGAGTCCCATAATATCTATTTTCTCTTCTATTAGTTCCTGGATTAAGATCTTTTGATTTGTTTCTCAAGTAATTTCTCTAACATTGTATATTGTGATATGTAAAAGGTTGTTGTTATTGGTTGGGCTTATTGGTTTAGCTGGAGCTATATGTTGTTGGTTGCTAAGAAAAAGTTTTTATTGTTTTTTAAGAAAGGTGTTGATATTGTTTTTGGATATACTTATTGTTGGATTTTCAAAAGTTATAAGTGTAATTGTATTTGACAATTCTGTTAACATGTCATTATTATTTGAGAAATGATTTGAAGATATTATTGATGTGTTGTTTCTATTTTCCTTGGTTGTAGATGTTGATTCAACTGGCATGTTTTTAGGAGTGGTTGTAAGCCCTGCTCCTATTTTTTTCTTCTTTTTTCAACTTTTTCAGTTTATTAAGTCAATTAAATCTTTTGGTTACAGAAAGCTCCAGTTCTAAACCAAGTAACAATAAAGGAAGATATGAATTCAAATGAAAAACAGGACAACAAAATGAACTTTTTCTTTTAT